GAAGAGAGGGCGTAATCCCCACCCGATTGGCTCATCACAAGTTTTCGAGAAGCAGTAGTAGACTTCGGCCTACTAGACTTTCCATTTGCAGGAAATCAATTTACACGGGAACGGTCGCGAGGAACCCCAAACATGATCGAGGAAAAGTTAAACCGGATACTCACGACGGACTCGTGGCTAGCCTTGTTTGAGGGCGCTAGTGCGACCTCTCTACCCTGCCTGTATAGTGACCATTTACCGTTATTGCTTACGCCGATGGTGAGACTAAATGGCACCCGACGCCGTAGATTTTGTTTTGATAACATTTGGCTACGGGAAGATCGTTGTAGGGAGATAGTAGATAACAGCTGGAGTCGAACAATGGGCCTGAGTGTGTTAGACCGTATTGCTGCATGCGGGGAAGACATCTGGAGATGGGGGAGGTCATATAATAGAGAGTTTCAGCGTGATATTGATCAGTGTAAAGCTAAACTTGAGAGGTTGAGAATGAGGAGGGATGAAGCGGGGTTCGATGAATATTCCCGCATTAAGAAGGTGTGGATGACCATACTTGACCAACATCATGCATATTGGAAGCAGCGTGCAAAAGAACATTGGTACCGGGGTGGCGACCTAAACACGAAGTTCTTCCATAACTCCATGAAAACTAGGAAGCGGCGTAATCGGATAAATCAGTTGAGAAGGGAGGATGGTAGCCTGGTGAGTTTGAATGATGGCATGGGAGATGTTATGGTGGACTACTTCACCAACTTATTTACCGCATACCTAATTGTGAAATGGAAGAAGTGTTAGATTGTATAACATCTCGGCTACAACAATGTGACAATATCAAGCTTCTAAGACCAGTTAGTGCGGAGGAAGTGCGACGCGCCGTCTTTCAAATGCACCCAGACAAATCCCCGGGGCCTGGACTGGGACCGAGCTTTTATCAACACTACTGTGATATTATTGGCGGGGACGTGACAATCTTCTGCAGAAATTTTGTGCAAACAGCCATGTTACCGGCGAAGGCTAATGACAAACTCATAGCATTAATCATGAAGAAAGCAAACACAGACTCAATGAAGGACATGCGTCCAATTGCTTTGTGTAATGTGTTATACAAAGTGGCTGCGAAAGTATGTGTCAATCGCATGAAGCTAGTTTTGGAGGGCTTAGTAAATGGGGCACAGAGTGCTTTCATTCCCGGACAGCTAATAACAAACAATATCATGGTGGCATATGAAGCCCATCACTTTTTAAAACGAAAGACCCAAGGGAAACAAGGTGTGGCTGCTCTGAAAGTTGACATGAGCAAGCCGTATGATCAGGTAAAATGGTGCTTTCTACAGGGTGTAATGCTGAAGATGGGTTTTGACCATAGATGGGTTGACATTATAACCGAGACCCTCAGTTCGGTCAAATATCATGTCCTGCACGAGGATCGCCAACTAGGTCCAATCATACCAAACCGCGGGCTAAGGCAAGGGGATCCCTTATCTCCTTATCTCTTCCTTTTTGTCGCAGAGGGGTTAAGTGCTCTAATGGAACGCCAAGTCGCCTGGAATCTGCTGCATGGCGTGCATGTGGCGCGGGGAGCCCCCCCCCACCCCCCAATATCTCATATGCTGTTTTAGATGATTGCTTTTTGTTCTTCCGGGCAAACACAACTAAGAGTGTCAGGATGAAGTGGGTACTTGAGATATATGAGAAAGCATCAGGACAACAGATAAACTTCGACAAATCAATGATTTGCTATAGCTCTAATACGCAGTAGGGTGTGCGTGATGAGGTGTCCAACACACTCGGTGTAAGGGTGGGGAGCACATCCGAGAAGTACCTGGGGCTCCCTGTGCTAGTTGGGCGCAAGAAGAAAGAAACTCTCGGGTTTCTGAAGGATAATTTGGCTAAAGTTAGAAGCTGGAATGCCAAATTCCTCTCGAGAGCGGGGCGAGAAGTATTGTTAAAGAGTGTTATTCAAGTTTTACCCTCAGGTACTGGTGGACAGGGTCAATAGGTCACGGCAAAGGCATCCGGTGGAGGTGTTGGGAAGGTTTGTGCGTCCCCAAAAAATGCGAGGGCATGGGCTTTCACAGGCTCCATGAAATGAACAAGGCTCTACTAGGAAAGCAGGCATGACGCCTACTCACGCGCCCGGATTCAATGATGGCCCGAATATACAAGGCACGTTATTTTCCTACAAGTTCATTTTTTGAGGCTACCATAGGAAGTAACCCCTCATTCATCTGGAGGGGAATGATGGAGGTACAAGAGCTCTTGAAAAGTGGATGTAGCCGGTGTATTGGAGATGAGCGAATAACAAGAATAGGCCACGACCCGTGGCTGCCTGAAGAAGTTTACCCCTATGTGACGACATATTTGCATGAATCGGTGGCAGCAGCTCCAGTATCATCCCTGCTTAATATGCAGGGGTCGGATTGGAACTACGACTGTGTGAATGATATTCTTGACCAAAGGGACGTCCAGTTGATCAAAAGAATTCCCGTGAGCACAAGAGCACCGCCAGATTCATAGACATGGGCGCCGGATCCGAAGGGAAGTATACGGTTAAATCTAGTTACCGGAAACAGATGGCCGAAACTAATGATGCTCGTGCCTGGGCAAAAATCTGGAGCATGGAGATCCCACCAAAGGTACGGAGTTTTTGTTGGCAACTTGCATCCAATTATGTACCCACCCGTGATATTCTGCTAGGCAAACGAGTTGCGTGTTCGGTAGTTTGTCACTTGTGTCAGTAGCAGGAATAGTCGACTGTCCATTTGTTTGCTACATGCCGTGAAGATAAGAAAGCATGGCATGCCATAAATCTGCCCATATCAGCCCCTACTCATGGTAATAATGTATCAAGTTGGTTTTTTTAGAATGTAGATGCGTTCATTGGGGATTCTTTGTCTAAATTTGCAATAGTTTGTTGGGGCTTGTGGTGTAGCCGGAATGACTCTGTCTGGAAAATTATTCCATACTCCATGGAGGCAATGCTGCTAGCGCTCTGTCCTTGTGGAATAACTGGAAAGCTATTAATGAGGTGGTGCAAGCTGATCAACCTCCTGCCGTCTCAAACCCTTGGACGCCTCCAGCATTTGGGCGTCTGAAGCTCAACACTGATGTGGCGATGGTGTCAAGTAATGGTACAATGGGAATGGGCTGGATTGTAAGGGATCATGAAGGTGTTCTCATTGCAGCAAGAAGCTCTATGCACGCTGGGTACTACGATGTGAAGGACGCGGAGGCAGTAAGCATACGAGAGGCGCTTAGTTGGGTGAAACAGCTGGGTTATCAACACATTGACGTCGAAACGGATTCACAAATTGTGTATCATGCTATAATGAATAATTCTTATAATTCTGGGTTTGGTTTAATAATTGATGAGAATAAAAGAGATTGCATCTCAGGTTCATGATGCAAACTTTTATTTTTCTAGGCGATTTGCGAACCGTGCTGCCCATGCTCTAGCTAAGAAAGCTAATTTTTTGACAGGTTGCGGGGAGTGGTATCACTCTCCTCCTCAGTTTCTTGTGAACATTCCCGTTTCTGATATAATGCATTAAGTTTTTAGTCCCAAAAAGAAGTTAAAAAGAAAATGTAAACAATATAATGTTTGGTTGGATGGAAAACATTTTCCATTGAAAAAAGTTATCCTTAAGAATGAGGAAAAAAAAATTCCTGGCTCATCCTAGGTATTTTATTTTCCATGGAAAACTAATATGATAATTTTACCCTCACCATTCTTTATTAATTACTCTTATTATTATTATATTATTATTATTGTTGTGTAGGGTTATATTTGTCATTATACTCATTATTCCTTACCATTCCAAACTCAACCAAACAATGAAATTCATATTCCCAGTAATTTATTTTCCACCAACCAAACAATGAAACCTATTTTATTGAAATTTATTTTCCATGGAATTTCAATTCCATTTCCCTTCAAATATTTTCCAGCGAACCAAACGAGAACATTAGTGAGAAACATGCTCAAACGACTTTTTTTTAAATTTGAAATTGGTGATATTTGTTGATCTAGAGGGCTTGCCAATTCACTAACATCATTGTTATGTGCTTTTTCAACAATCAATATTTCAATAACCAAAGAATTAGCCTTCACCCTATCAACAACATATAACCATTTAGCACGTGGAACAAATATAACGTTTAAATGACGAAAGATGAATTTAGGTTACCATTCTTTAAGAGCCTCAGCATGTTTGCCAAACGGATTCACTTCTACACCGGAGTCGGATCTTGTAGATAAGAAAATTCCTATTTAACATGTTAAACACACTTGATAAGGAAAATGACAAGTACCTCATTTCATCCTACCATCAGCATTTGAGTTAGAAGTATGAAATTTATGGCTTGCATGGTTTTAATGAGGTGATTTATTTTCAGTTAAAGAAATGAGCATAAAAGGCTTGACTACTACATAATTTTTTTTTTACTCCGTATAACACAATAGAACATCTAGAATGCAGTCTCCATAATTGACTCTAAAGTCCTCATATGGATACAATACTTAACTACATAGTACTCACTAGTCAGTACATCTTATTTCAATCTTCATAGTTCTCTCCAACATATTACAGTATAAAAGTCCAGGCAAGGGTGAGGCACAAACATGGAAATATGGAACACAAGTTGGACTCTTATTAGAACTAAACAAGCTAAAATTAATATTGAAATTACAATATTGGTTTGCAATTTAAACCAATATTGGACATATATTTTTGTAGCTTGAAAATATGAATTACAATTAATTGATAAGAAAATTATTCATGTTGCAAAAATTTAGCATTTCTAATAACCACAGTTAATACTTGATCATGTTATTGATACTCTCACTCTTTCACAATTAACTTATCGAAATGAATATTAATATCGCATACAAACCTTGATATGAGGTGACAGTAATCCTCCTTTCAAGAACAACTGGATAATCTCCTAGTTGGAATTCTTTGTCAATTTTAACTCTTTGATAAACCGTAAAATTTCCCCACATTGTAAAAATGATAGATTTAAGCCTGGGAGATTAATAAGGAATTTATAAATAGATCATGTATAACTTAGTTGATAATAATATTTTATTTGTTGATACGTAATGCAAGAAAATAATCAAAAAATGAAACATAAAATAAAGTGTAAAATTAATCATGCTTCCTTCCCAACTATAAAAGACAATTAAAAACGTTCAAAGTTAAACAAATTTTAAAAACATACTCTTCATCAACCATCACAAAATCATTAGCTTTTTGTTGTCATGTCCTGTTGGTGACAATAAATTCTCTTGGTAGTTTAGAAATCACAACTTCAATGATATCTACAAATAATATTAGAATTAGATTTACACAATATGTTCTAAATATAAATAATTTTTCACAAATAAAAAATACATGGAAAGAATCTAAACTCACTGATTGCTTGTCTTTTAGATTTGTACGCATACAATTGTCCAAATGGTTTTGTATCCATGTCAGAAGACGGTTGTAAATCTAATTGTTGATCATCATCGACATCTTGTATAAGAGTTTTCCTATTAATTAACCAAACAAACATATATCTCTCATCTGGGACATTGAAAAATTCATTAGCGCGAGAGACTAATGCATTAGAAATAATATATATGGAATATAATTTGAGCCTTTCATCAAGCAGTTCAATATCATTTTGATAAGTCATTCCTTGAACTTTGTTGCCCTATAATTATATTTCAAAATAGATGTCAATAATTATTACAAAATATAACAAATATCCATAATCCTAACAAATGCATAATAGAATTATGTTTAAAATTCAGGAATGATAAAATGAGTAATCGCTTCATCTTGAAATGTTATAGATTTCTATAGTCTTCCAAGTTTGGTCTTTGACTCTCTTGTATTCAACTTTTCAATAACACTAACTTTGCAACTCCATTGGTTTATCTCTGTTGTGATTTGAGGGATTACAAGAATTTTTTCATCACTGAAAATTTTAAAAAAATAAAAATAAAAAAATTATGAAAATACAATATACACATTTTCAAGAATATTAATTGGGTGGCTTTAAAACTATGATCATACCACTAATACTTGTTGAAAGGAAAAAGATATATGAGGATTTGGATGTAAAAATAATACCTTTGAATTGATTAATTATATTTTTTTCTCAAAAAAGAATAGTAAGTGTAGCTAAAGTTATTCTGAGAATATTGTATGGAAATGCAACATACAAATAATATGAAAAATAATATCCATTGTGATTTGAAGGTTTAGAAATTGATTTTTTTTTTTGTTACTGAAAATGTTCTGCCAAAGAAAGGTAATTCGAAACGAGCACACGACTGTGCAATAATGTAATGCCATTTTCTCTGTGAGTTCAGAAATAACAAAAGATTTGTTACAAGTATGGTAATACTACCAGGACCTGTTGTGTTATTATCTTCATTATATGGCAACCCAACGTGGTAGCTCAAGTGGCAAATTAGCTCTCTTTATGGAGGAAAATTCTAGGAGAACCTGGGTTTTATTTCCACAATTGATGATTCCCCTTGGGCTATTTCCAACAGGGAGAGAAATACCCAAAACACCTCGTAGTTTACACCCAAAAAAATGACACATTCTTTTAACTTTGATTTTTTTCCCAAATCAGTAAGTAGGTCAAGTAAATCCATTAAATAATAAGTGAAAGCGCAAGCATATCCCTCCAAATCAGAACACAAATAAGTATGATTTCATACACACTTCATTTACACACTGAAATTCATGAGTTGATATATTTTCCTGAAAATTTCGTCTTTTGTTACTTTTAAAAAAGTTATCAGCAAGGAATTTAGTTAATTTGTTGCCATAAACCTTCACTTTAGGGGTTGTAAATTAATTCTAACAATGTAGCTCAAGACAGATTATGGAAGTTATATGCACTGGAAATTAACAAAAATCAGCAAATTAATTGTATAAAAAATTAAACTGCAGTTCATCCAAAACCAACAATGGAAATAAATAGACGGAAGTAAGAACTTGAAGGTGGCGGAGAAGAGCTAATAGAGGGTGGAATAACATACTAAAGTTTTAGAGAAAGAAACAAATAAAAGGCTGCAATTATTTTATGGTGCCTTCCGTGTATAATGAAGTGTTTAAATAGCTACATACATCCTAACATCAAGCAAACATTCCAAAACTAAATAAAGTAAATGGAAATAAATCAAGAAATTCTTAATTATAGACATAATCATGACAATTAAGAGAAAAAGGTAATGAAAATCATCTATCTAATCCTTCATACAAACTGAAAAATTCTTGTGATGCGTACATGAACATTCGAAAATATTTCAATTAAATAAAATTATATTTAATTCTCGTGGAACACTTTTCACTTTTAATTAATATAAAATTATTATTTTTTGAATGCTATATAAAATTATTATTTATTTATATGAAATTAATAATTCAAGAAAGATGCACCAATATAACTTCGTTAACCATCGAATCCTGTCCTAATATTGGTAATGAGGGCTTGCAAGCAATCGGAATGAATAGAACTAAACTGCAGTGCCTCACCATCAAGGACTGCCCTCAAATTATACGAAATTAATAAAAATACTAATTAATTTACCTTGTATTAAATTTGGAAGAAGAAGGCAGTAGTGATTCCACTTAAATATTGAGGCGCACTTCATGTTTATACCCATAGAGTGTTGTTGATTGCAGCTCTTCTTCTAGATGTTGAGAAGGTAATGAAGAGGATTCTGCTGATTGCATATCTTCATATGTATCATAGGTAATGAAAGATGAGCCGATGAATGATGGGATGAATCGGCGGAGAAAATGAGTGGAAGATTATTGTGACCATTGAATGCAGATATGGGTAATATAAATAAGATAAGTGGATGAATCAGAGGAAATATGGAAGGAAAATTAGTGGACATAAGCGGATGAATCAAAGAAAATATGGAAGGAAAATGAGTGGACAAAAATGGATTTTGGCTTTTTTTGCATTATACTTAATGGTTCGTTTAGTCAACTTAACAGTAACAGAATATATTGGATATTTTTGTCAATAAAAATGTATTGTACAGCAGTAAGAACACAATGTACAACAAAGTAAGAGTATAAAAACGGATAAAAATCAGGGATATAACCATCATTGAAACTTATTATGTTTTTAGATTAATAACAGCAACAATATTTATTATTACTATTATTGTTGTTGTTGTCTGCCTTACACAAAAAGTCACAACTTAAATATATTCGACCTTTTGCAGTTATTATTATTGTTGTTGTTGTTGTTTGCCTTACGCAAAGAGTCCAACTTAAATATGTTCGACCTTCTGCAGTGTTCATGTTGCACATGTACTGATTAATTTGATCAACGACATCTATAGTCGGCAAGAGGATCGCTCGTCCTTCTAGGTGCGACTCATCAAGCATGTCATATCTCGTGATTAAGAATGTGTTTTCTACTATAGTTGCTATTGATCGGTTCCACACTTCAACACAAACCGTGCCGGAATATCGATCTCAGACGAATTGTCGTTTACAACACATGCAATATCATCTTCGATGTCTGCAATCCATTTTGCATTGAAAACTAATCAATCGTTCATCTATCTTCCTCTGAAGCTAAGCTGAATAGCCTCAATACCTTACAATTCGTCCAGAGGTACGAAGAATTAATAATGGTTCCGACAACTACTAGTCTTGGTGCATTCAGAATAACAGAAATAATCTGTCTAAAATCACCGCAAAAAACTACTGTCTTTCCACCAAATGTCTGTAACGCTGGCCAAAGTGTCGTTGTTCGCTTTCATAATGTACTTGTGCTCGCATGATTTAAATCTCATGTGAGACATTTGCACAACAAAATTATGAATATCATAGACTTTTCCTTCCTTCAAGAGTTTGTTGAATTTTTCGACAAACTCTTTGGGGATTTGTAAATGGATGCAAATTCCCTAAAAAAATACTAGTAAATATTAATAATTAATTAATTAAAATTTTATAATTAATAGTATTTTATTAATACTATTGAACACCATGAACTGTTCAATGGTTACTCTATTGAACACCATGAATTGTTCTTATAAATGCATTACATTAACTCCATAAATTAAGTTAAACATATATCTCAAATGATAGACTTCAATCTTAATTATTATATTGTATATATATTTTGGTTTCACTTAGAGATATTCACTTTGACACTTTTAAAAATATAAAATTATAATAAATGTGGCACTAGCCTGGTGAGTCATTTGCTTCAATTCACTAGAAATAAAAGATAGTAACTTCATGTTGACAATTTTTTTATAAGTCAGTGATGATCTAACAAACTAATAGCAACATACAAAGAATGTAATAACTTATACTAAAGACTTTGTGGAGGTATGAGTTCCATTGAATACCAATAAAATATATAAATTGGGAACATGAACAAAAATTCAGTTCTAAAACAAATCATGGAGCTTACGATATATGGTTATAAAATAAATCTATAAATGTCATATGTAGATAATTTGCCAAATGATAGATTAGAAACTTAATTATTATATTGTATATATTTCGGTTTCATTTAGAGATATTTACTTTGACACTTTTAAAAATGTAAAATTATAATAAATGTGCCATTAGTCTGGTGAATCATTTACTTCAATTCACTGGAAATAAAAGATAGTAACTTCATGTTGACAATCTTTTTATAAGTTAGTGATAATCTATCAAACTGATAGCAACATACAAAGAATGTAATAACTTATACCAAAGACTTTGAGGAGGTATGGGTTCCATTGAATACCAATGAAATATACAAATTGGGAACATGCACAAAAATTTAGTTCTAAAACAAATCCTGGAGCTTGCAATATATGGTTCTAAAATAAATCTATAAATTCCATATGTAGATAATTTGCCGAATGATAGACTTCAAACTTAATTATTATATTGTATATATTTTGGTTTCACTTAGAGATATTACTTTGACACTTTCAAAGATGTAAAATTAGAATAAATGTGGCATTTGCTTGGTGAGTCATTTACTTCAATTCATTAGAAATAAAATATAGTAATTTCATGTTGACAATCTTTTTATAAGTCAGTGATAATCTATCAAATTCATAGCAACATACAAATAATGTAATAACTTATATCAAAGACTTGGAGGAGGTATGGATTCCATTGAATACCAATGAAATATATAAATTGAGAACATGCACAAAAATTCAATTCTAAAACAAATCATGAAACTTGCGATATATGTTTCTAAAATAAGTCTATAAATGCCATATGTTGATAATCTACTTTTATTAACACTATTTGTTTAATATTGTTGATCCAGTTATATATCATTGTTATAAAGATTAATTATTGTGGACATTATGAGGATTGATTCTGTAACGGTTACATTATTGCTTTCTGTTACAAGTGTATATTATATATATATACACGTTCCAAAACTGGTCGTACTATATTTATCCCCATTGTCCTATAGAGGGACAATAAAGATTGTATTGCACAAATGATAAAAAGGATATATAATGAAATCCTTTTGACTGGACATTAT